TCAAGTAACAATAAACACAAAACTCTCTTTTCTCATTATTACTATATCATATAATATTTACCCCCACGATATTTTCTAGTCCTTTTTACCTATAAAAAGGGACCCCATGGTAAGCCTGTGGATGATCCCGGTTGGACATACATTTAAGGTTAGGGGTTAAACAATGCCCAATTTTCCATTTTTTGCTTTAGCTAGATAAGTTTAATATTTGAGCTGAATTCAGTGTTCTAAAACGCTTCATTTATTTTTTTCCTGTGGTTATTAAACACCATGATTGCCTTTCTTCATTTGTTTTCCATGGTGGGTTTGTGTGAAACCAAAAGATTACACTTCCACTTTTTGTATATAAACGTTTACACTTTTATAAATGTCCTTCATCATTCAAATTTGATAATAAACCTTAGTATCCGAATGTAATATGGGATTTTGAATATATAACTCTATTTAAGCTGATGTTAGAAAAATGGAGTTTCACCCAATAATGAATTGGAACTGCAGAAATGCCGACCCGCACCCAAGCAGTTCAAAAGGAAATTGCTTCTCCGAATGAAGAGGCAATTGAAATCGGTAGTAAACTCTCCTAGTATGTCAATAGACGACTAGTTAAACAAAGACCCCAGACACGTTCCCAGCCTGAAGCAAAGATTGGAACTACAAAAGGACAGAGAACTAAAATTGGGTAAAGTGAACCCACAATTTATAACCAGTTTAAAGTTTTCCATAAAACAGAACTATAACCGGTGGAAACTGCCATCCGATGTAGAAGTCGTCAACTCGACGGCAATGGAAAAGATAATGATGCCGATTAAATTTGTAACTCAGCCAGAAGTTTTAATAAAGGAAGAAACCATTTTCTGGAAAACAAAGAAAAGAGTAGAACAAGGTTTTATTCTGAAAACAGGGGAACTCAGAAAACCATCCCGTTTGAGGAAATAACTGCTTTCCCAAATCAACTAAAACCAAATCAAAATGAGAGAGACGAAAGCAAAGAACTTACAGACGAGATACGCAGACTGACAATAAAGAACAAAACGAAGAAAAAGAAGATAGTCAAACTACGGCAGAAACTAGAGGCTTCACAGAGGAAGATAGTGATCCTCAGATCTTGCAACGTGGAGCTAGAAGCTGGAAAGAAACTCTAGAAGAAAATATTCAAACATCATATTTAAATCGCGTCCATTAACTTAAACTTGTATGCAAAATCATTATATTTGATGTTATTTTTAATGTTCTACCTAAATCATTGAAGCGTTTAATTTTCACCATGAAAACTGTAGGAATCGAACAGCTTAATTTTCTAAAAAAAAGGGGAGTTGTGTAGCATTGGAAATACTACACGGACAAAAGACCATTGTCTAAATTTTTAATGGTTTATTTAACGACCCAATTCAAAATTGGAGCGTGCCGTTTAAATTTAGGCCTCTTTTCACTAAATCAGATTTTGACTGATTAATTCCTAATAGGACTATGAAATCTTGTTTTGAAAATCCACTATTTTTTAAAAACCTGTCCAATTTTTCTCATTTTTATGCTCAGTATAATGAAAGGGCGGCGATTACATACACGTCCTTTTTAACTTTAACTTGAAACATAATGGATAAATATTTAGCAGTCTTGCCGGCTGCACGGGAATTCTCCTTGCTATGATTAAGCAGAGATGCACCTGAAATATGATGTATCAGAGAGAGTAATATGAATTTTTAAAAAGACGAAACTGAAGGCTGCGATTTTAATCAAAGGGGATCAATAATCTAAAGATATTTGACTGAGAAAATCAAATAAAATCTAGGTAAAAATTCCCTTATGATAAAGGGAGGATAAAGGAGCAAGTGAAACTTGAATACTAGAATAAGATGAATAAGATAAATCAGCCACCGGTTTATGCTTACGAGCAAAAGATTTTTCCTGAAATCTTCAGTGTTTCATTTTGCTCAGCCAGCAGCAAGTCTTATATCTTAACAACTTCATTTTTAAAATAAATAATTTTTCTCTTTCAATTTTACAAAAATATAAAACTAGTCTTCTTCCATTTAAAACAGATAAATGTTTCGTTTTCTAAATTCGATAAAAACTGTAAATCGAGATATGTACAATCGAGGAAATCCGAATCACAAGGACGAAATGGACCAGAATACTGCTGACTACCCTACAGAAGTGGACTCACCCAAGAGTGACTCGAGAGACTTACGCAATCGTCGACCTTAGTAAGAAAAAAATATTGATGAACAGATAAGAATAAATAATCCACCCCTCATGGGTATATTTCTTTAAGTTGTTCGATTCATTTATATGATCTAATAACCCTGTGCTTTGTATTTACCCAGCTAACTATTGCAAACTTTTTCTAACTAATGTTTCTACTATAACGTTTGTCAAGAAAACTTAATGATCTAAGGTGAGACTTTTAACTTAGGATAGATTACTAAGCAATCAACCAGCAATGATCGCTTAATAAATTCCCCCAAAAACATCGTCAAGAAGGTCAAGTAGTATACCAATATAAAGTGTTTGATGTTTGGTCGAATATCGAGCGATTGGAGCGAAAAAGGGCTATAATACGGAAATTAGTCGCAGAAATCTAGTTTTACTCCAGAATTTTGAGCTTTCATAGCTTTTTTAGCAAGAGCTGTACTTAAACAAAAAATTCTAAGATAACAAAAAAAAATTGAAAATATTTAAAAAACTTGTTATTTTACTTTTGATGAAAGTTGTTGTCAAGTATGCAATTTTGCATTTACCGTCAATTTTATTTATTTATTTTTAGATTTTTGGTCAGATCTGCTTTTAGCAAAACGCAGTAAAAACATCACAATTTGTGAGAAGAATAGCTATGTGGTTTTTTGCGCTCTGAACTTTAGGTGCTACTTACATCGCAACAGCTTGTGCGTTAAAAGACCGAAATTAAATGCGCGTTATTTTTCCCAAATTGACAACCTCGATAGCTTTACAAAATAATCACAGGTGAAATATCGCTTTAATTTTGAGCTCAGGACAACAAAACCTTTCGAATGATATTTTAAAAAAATTATCAAACACGGCTGGTTAAAAAGTTGAAGTTTGACAGGAGAAAAAATTTCAAATCTGAAAGTTTTATGATTATTTTAATGATAACTAATGAAGAAATTCAGGTCGTTAATTAAAATTGTGACTAAAAGCCATCTGTTTTGCAAATAGGTTTCAGTGAGTAAAATTCAATTTTGTTCCTTTTTTGATTATACTTTTTGAGGAGCAGATCAAGGATCTTCATTAGAAAAACTTCTCGTAAAATTTTTTTTAGCAAAACAGGCAAATTCTGTAAACAAAACAAAGAAAAACTACGTTTTGACAAAATTTGCATTTTTTTCGGCGAGTGCTTTGCCTATGAAGGGATATGTCATAAAATAGTTTCTTCTCTAATCCACCCCCCTCTTCTCGAATTTTTTCCAATCTACGGAACCAGACATTTGGAATACATGTTTTCAGTCTGTCGGCCACTTAATATCAAAGACATCACAACTGTTTTGTTTTCTCAAGAGTTTGTTCTTTGTCACTGCAAAGAAAGGATTTGCGGCATAAACTGTTTGCTTTTCAACCACCGTTTCCTCTATTACCATAATGCCTCTTAATACTTCAACGTCAAGTTGGAGTTAATATAGCAGAACAGTAAAATATGGACACCATACGTACAAGGGGAATATTTTCAAGACGCTCAGCACTAATAGATTGAGGCAGGATAAATAATTCATATGCCTAAACTCATATTGAGAAATTTCAGAAAATCAGAGATGCATATATGCAAACCATCTTATACCATAGGAGTTAAAGCAATTATTTTTCCGGGGTACTTATAATTGGTATACTGTGCCGTATTTGGTATAGTTTGCAATTTGAAACTCTCTCATTTTACCTTTTTCGTTCTTTGTAGCGCCTCCTTTTTTGCCCCTGATTATGACAGAATGGTCAACAAAGTCAGGACGGGTTTTGGCTCTTCAGAAGTGGGTTGAGGATGCAATGGGCCCATTAATCACTACAGAAGTCGTCTATTGAAAATGATTAATCGAACGTGTATTTGCACCGCACAGAAATGATTACTTGTTGTGTAACAACTTTTAGTTTCATATATTACCCTCACTCTGTTTTGCTTTTACGTTGTTAGTTATGACATCTTATCCAAAAACTACATTCCGTTTGAAATTTGGTGAATAATTCCATAGGTCCAGGAAAAACAAGATTTTTTTTTTCAATTTCGCATGGGACTAAATATATAAAAAATATTTTTAAAATTGTAGTTCGAAAGATATAGCAAACTATTCTAAATCCTTTGTTTTTGGCCTACCATTACAAAGCATTATTAAGGGTACTTTTGGCACCAATTGATTAAAACGCTTGAAAACGCTAAAAAGGTATGTCAATTTTAGGTTTTTAACAGCTCTAAAATTCAAAATGGCTGACCAAAAAATAAGAACTTTTGCTATACTTCTATTTTCACCATATTTCAACAGAAAATTTTGTGCTGCTTCAATAATGTCTTCAAAGGTAGCACTTTGAAGACATTATTAATCAAAATCTGTTTAACTGTCTCGTCATTTTATGAACAACTGATTATCCTGGCAACGAATTTCACTTTGAAAACCCAAATTGGATAAAATTCTAATTTCCGGTATAAGTTTTCTCAGCGTGCATTTTTTGTTCTTACTCCTAGATTACATTTTTTCATTTCCTCAAAGCTAAGGTGCCAAAAAAACTAAATCCTCGGTTGGGATCGGTATTGGGAAGGCAATTAAAGATTTTGATAAGAGTCTGATTGACGGAAAGATAATAATTTCCATTAAGGAAGCATTATGTCTCCATCTTGTCAAAAGATAATTGATGGTGTATGGAGTTTATATTCCATATTTGGCAGCAAAGCCGGTCCATTAAAATTCATTATATTTGTTTTTTTTCCTCAAATTAATATTTGCAGTACAATGAGTTTGCTGAACTATGAAAACATTTGAAGAAAAACTATTTATATTCAAATTTGACTAATTATTTCCCCCAAGATTTGGAAAAAACGGCCATTAATTATGTTGAATTACCGCAAGCAATCTGGAAAAATAACAAAGAACTGAGGATTATTTTAGCTTCTTTTTTGAATGCACCATTACATAATTATCAGTGAAAACTCTATTAGGTGCAAAACTTCATTTATCAATAATTTGTCGCCTTAAGGCACCATAGCGCGTATTTGCGCTGATAAAAATTGAGCAAAAGCACGCTTTTTTGCTCTAATTTTCCATTTCCTTTTCGTCTCAGGAAAATGTTTTATTTCCTTTTGACATTGTGGAAGTCCATCTAATTTTGAAAATGGAAAAACCCACCGAAGACTTTATGCTTGTCAATTAATGCAGCAGATCTTAATCAAGGGTTCGTTTGGACCATTATTGGTTTTATTGTGAAAGAAGAGGTTCGCCACCATGTTGCTGATACGTCCTAGTCATTGGATTGAAGTGGCATCTGCTTTTATTGAATATTGGGTGCATTACATATTTCGATTTCTACCTTTCATGAAATTACGTAAGTACTAAACTTTTTGTTCCGACTTTCGATACGATGATTTTTATTTAAAAAATTTCAAATTTTAGAAAAAAAAATTTTCATTTTATTTTATTTCATATAATGTTTTTATGTTATTACTGCTGCTCCATAAACTTTCAAAAGCAGTCGGAACATTCAGGGCTTCGCCCTGATACGAGCAGTCTTGTTTGAACTTTAAGTTTCTCTTCCAGCTGATGGAATTGGAAACAGCCCGGTTTGAGGTTCGCAACTTAATAAAAAACGTTTTAAAATGCGCCGCATACCGTTTTTAGACAGATTTTCGCAGTAGCACAGCGGGTTAAAATCGCGCCGTCCGTCTTTTCCTAAGTCGCATCATCAGTCTTTTCTTAAGCCGCGCCGTCAGTCTTTTTGTAAGTCAAGCCGCTGAAGTCTTTTTCAAACGGCGGCTGACTTACGAAAAACTTTAACGGCATGACTTAAGAAAAGACAGATGAATTGAGCAATCCCCCCCCCCCCGCAATGATCAATTGAGCTATCATCTCCCCCCAAGCAAAACGATAAGACTCCTGAAAAAGACATGAAGCAGCTGGTTGTTGTGTTCATAACACACAATCAACTGATCGACTGAAAATCATTTTAAATGAGTAACGAGAGAAATTTTGAGAAAAAAATTGAAATTTACCAGATTTTTTTTGTAAATTTTTGTTTGGGCGACCATTGCCTCTCATCGAGGACAGCGAGTTACCAGGGTTGGTGTTTTAATTTGTATCTGATTACCAAAAACTGTTCTCCGCGGCACCATAGTAATTTACACAATAGCTTTTTGTTTCATTTAGGACAGAAAAAAATCGCTGTATGTGCCTAAGTTTTATTGATTCTTTTTTCACTCTGAATGTAATTTTTGAGCGTTGATTTTGTGAAAATTTGAGTTCCACATTCGTTGGAGAATCTGGTTCATAATTTGATATCATTCAAACCATTTTCAAGTGGTTATAAACATGTCTCAAGTTTCTATTGAGTTATCTCCCCCCAAGCGAGAGTGTAGTGGACATTGCTCAATTGATCCGAAAAGACTGATGGCGCGACTAAGAAAAAACATTTGGTTTTGCTCAGTCGCGCTGGTCTCGACGGTTTGTTCTCAGTCGCGCCGGTCCGGAATTGGCAATTTTAGGTGCCGTCGGTCGCGCCATTTTCTCATGTCGCGCCGGTCTCAACGGTTCTTTGGTCGCCCCTGTCACTGCTTTTTTTTCAGTGGCGTCTGTCTGGAATTGCCAATATAAAGTTGCGCCGGTCTGGAATTGCCAATTTTGGGTCGCGCTGGTCTTTTCTTAAGTCGCCGACCTCGACTCGGGAGGGTCCAAAATTTTACAAAAGTCGATGCCCTCGGATGGTTCTATGGCGATACCAAAAACATGAAACAGGAAAATAATGTGGTAATATACTACACATTTGAGCTGTGATATGAATTACGAAAAAATAATTTAAAATATTGCAGCGACAAAAAGATTGATCAGACTGTTCTATCCCGTATGGTGAAAACTTGAGGGCTGTTTTTTGGCTAAAGACTTCATCAGTTTGCTTGAATTTACTGTTTGTCAAACGTGATAAAATTATCATTTTTTGTTCTCAAATTCTCATAATTCATTAACGTGAAGAAGGAAGGACAAGAACAAGATTATAGTGGAAAACTCGTAAGTCGATTTAGGTCCCGAAAGTATGATAATATCTGGTCTCCCACAGCAATCAGTCGAAAAGCTGGATTCAATTATTTGATATTCAAAACCCGAACTGAAAAAAAATGCTTGACCTCTTGTATTTTTCTTTGGGTTTTTCTCTCTTTTCTTTATAACAGTTACTGCCTAGGACCTCGGATGCCTAGGAGCTCCGTAAATGGTTGCACAGCTTGCAGCAAAAATTTATCCTTGTCAATTGGCAGACAAACCTGGTGTAACAAAATAATTTAATCGACTGAAACTTGAAAGAACATAATAATTTTTCAGCCCATTTCATTATTTCAATTTTTATAGATACTTTTTTAAAGCATTTAGCAATTGAAATAAAGCATTTAGCAATCAAGAAAGGAACGTTTATCAGCAACCAGACAGCCCTGTCTTTGTTTCAAACTAAGAATCCGACTGAAAAAACTCATCAAACTAAATAAATTTTTACGTAAATAGTAACTAAATTGGATATTGTTCCGACTTTCGAAGAAAGTGCGGAATATCTATGCTCGGCGTTTTTTTTGTTCAGCCCGCGGAGTATTTCCACCGAGTGTTTCGTTCCAATAAATATGTTTTTTTTTTAATATATATACGGAATGACTGGGTTTTTAACACTTAAGTGGTTATCACTTCGTGGATTGGTTTACAGCGCATGAATCCCATTTTTCGAGGGCAATGTCTCCGGAGATAGCCAGTCTTTCAAAGCATACAATCCTAAGCCCAGCTAGGGAGTCTCCAAAAATTTGGGCAACAGCAGGCACGGCATGAGTGTCTCCCACTTCCCACCTCAAAGTCAAGAATCCAAAAAGAAGAAGTTCCTGGACACTGCGTATGTGGTATAAATTTTTGAAAAATTTGGTCGCGCGAAATTGGCCAAAATTTTGGCTATAAATGACTGACGGATCTGGGGTGGGCAAAAATTGTATCAGTGGCCAGCGCAGCTGTCAAGAGAACTTCAGCTAGGTTGTTCTGGAGTAATCACGCTAAAAGTCTTATCTTTAACAAAAATTCTTCCGGATGTTGGAGCACTTTAGTGCTGATACTGGTCCTGCATTGCAACCAAGTAATGACGAAGAGTTAAACTCTGAAAGATGAAGTTTCGAGCATCGTGCAGGTCGTGTACCAGAACATCGGAAGATAAATCTTAAGAACCTTTTGAGTGTCACCGGAATAGCGGTGAGATAAGGCGTTTGTTGACAAACCTTGATGTTCAGTCCCGGACCGAGGTCCGCGACTCAGGTTGCGAACGCAATGGGTCGCCGAAATGGACTTTGTGCGACCGAAATTCCATCATCCCACAAGAGACTTCAGTCGCTACATGGGTCGCGCAAAGTTGCAACATAGCTAACTTGGGTCGCGCAAATATACACTATTTTGAGTCGCATTTTGAGTCGCAGTGGTCGCAACATACCTTTTTTGGTTCGCGCAAAGTCGCAACATATCTTGTCTGGGTCGCGCAAAGTCGCATAAAATTTCTTCGACCGCGCAAAGTCGCAACATACCCATTTTGGGTCGCAATAGTCGCAACATGTCTTTTTTGGGTCGCGCAAAGTCGCAACATATCTTATTTGGGTCGCGCAAAGCCGCTTAAACATTCTTTGGTTGCGCAAAGTCGCAACATACACATTTTGAGTCGCAATGGTCGCAACATGCCCGCTTTGGGTCGCAATGATTGCAGAATACACATTTTGAGTCGCAATGGTCGCAACATAAGTCCCTGACTTCGACCCCAGGTCTTGATTTACAAAGATGAAAGACTATCCGATACCATCAAAAAATGGCGAACAGGATAGTGTATGTTTGCAGTCATAGAAACTGCATATAACTCAAAATTTGCACCGAGGTGGGAAGAGCAAATTCGTATTTGAAAAGATGTAACTTTTAAAACCCTGGCTCTAGAAGTTTTGGATTGTGCTAGAAGCAAGGATTGTGCTGGAATTTAGAGAGGAATAAGATCGCAAAGCCTTCTTACACTGAGGCTGCGATAGAGTGCGAACATATGAACCCTAATCTTGGTGTGATTTGGAAATTGCCCATGAAGTAGTGTTCGTGTCGTAAGGTGGACTTGAACATTTGAACCGCGGAGAAAATCAAATTGTTGCCATTTGCAGAACTGTTTGATTTGAATGTGGCCCATACACTGATGCCTGTTAAACAGAATGTTTCTAAAATCGGCTGAAAACAACTTGCTCGAAAAACGTAGCTGAAGGTTCTATGCACGACATTTTGATCGATCTGAAAACCGAAGGAAGAAAGATATTATCAACCACCGTGACAACTATTCCCGGACTCTCTCTCAATCCTAACACAACCAATAGGGAGAAGAAAACGCAATTTTTGCTAGACAAGTTTCCCCTGCAGTCAAAAAAGCGTTGTGGTGTAGCGCGACAAAATCAGCAAATCTAGTAGAGCAAAACAATTTCGACCCGACAGCTTTGAAGATGTTTCGAACTATCTAACACCGAAACGAGCGAAAATCAAGGCAATAGTATTTTGTACACGTTTCGAGATCGTTAAGAAACACTCACTATGTTTCAATTGTCCTTATAAACACAAGTTGAACGATTGCAGGTCAGAAAACGTAGTATGCAAATAACTGCGGCCAGAAGCATCATTCAAGTTTGCACAGAGAAAAATCTGGAATTTCAAAAGTCTAACAACGTCGATGTTGAACAACGAGCCCTCAATTCGCCAGATGCCGTTGATAGAGTAAATCCAGATTCACTTTCGGTCATTAGAAATCAGTTACAGTATATGCCGGTAACCCTGATTAATGGCAAAACCTCAATTCAGTGTTATTCAGTGTTGAATAACTGCAGCAGTTGCTCTCAAATATGCAAAATTACAGCGGAAGAACTGAACAGCGTTCCAAAGCAATCAGTCGACATAAAAGTTCATGGAGCTTTCACAACGGATAAAATTTATTCCACCTTAATTACACTGAATGTTGGAGAATTCAACTCTACGTCAGTTCTTTTTACATTATCGAACGTTTATTCGGTTGATAAAACTCAATTCTATGTCCTCAACGTCAAACAATTGAACAACATTCGTTCCAAACTCAACCATCTCAGCCACATCAATTACCCTGAACTTGATGATAATCATGTCCGTGTTCTCCCATGTGTCGATGCTTTCTGGTTCGTTGCTGAAAGAGACATCAAGAGGGGTCCTGTTGGAAGCCCATATGCAATCAGAAACTTGCCTGGATGGACCATCACTGGTCCTCTGAGCTCCAAGTACCTGGACAAAGAACCACGAGAACAGCAAACAAATAACATTGATGCTCGCAACAGA